GGAAACACAAACAAGTCCATTGGAAGTATTAATAATTTAAAATTTGTAGTTGGAGGATTTAAGCTTGAGTCCTGTAGGGTTCTATGGTCTCTCTGTTGGCAAATAGCCTTTGGCCGTCTCTTCCAGGACCCAAGCCAACATGGAGACCAGCCGCACTTCCAGGACTTTGATACCCTTCTAAGTACACAGTAAAACCTAAAAGGCTCTGGGGCAGAGCGCACCTGACCCGGGGCTGAGTCTAGTGCTCTGAAGTTCCACCAAGGAGTCTTTGTTGTTTATGTTTTGCTTTTTTGGGGGGTGTGTGTGTGTGTACGCAAACCAGGGTGAGTAAGCATTGCTCTGAATTCAGTTTTTCTAAGCGATCTTATAATCTCATGAGAATGTGCAAGCCCTGTAGAAAAATATCCTGAGCGGGGAACACAGAGATGGGGTACAGGCTGGGGAGCCCTGCAGGCACATTCTACAGCCTAGAATTTGACTTCAAAGACTCTAGCCTTAAGCTCTTGAAATGTGTGGCAGTGGATGAAATATCCCCCATGATTATCTTAGACCATTTAATCTGGTAAACCTAAAAACAAGTGCCACAAATTACTTCCCACATGACCCACTGGATTTTTTGGGAGCTTTCCTCTCCTCCCATCCACTTCTCATCTGAGTGTCCGTGGTGGAGCACCCCTAAGGAGCAAGTACTCTCACCCTACCCAATCCTCCTACCCCTGGCCCCCAACCCATATCACCCTTTTGGGTGTGAAAGACTCTGAATTCAAAGCTAAAATAAAAAAGAAACATTATTTTATTATTATCAAAGTACTGTCTGCACATGATAGAAATTGCAGATGAGCTTAAGACAAAAATCCAAGTCTCCATCTGCTCCAAGCTTCTGTTTCAGTTCTCAGGAGCAGGTTGCTATGTTCTAGTTCTCCTGGCGTCTTACCTCACACCTTCTCTAGACCGTAGGCTTACCCACCAATAACTGCACTTGCCTTTTCACAGAATATGTGTCCAGCCTGTGATGTGGAAGATGGCAATTGACCCATCCACATATAACCCCACCTCCAATATTAGGCATTTAGATTTAAATATTGATATAGGTTATCTTTTGTCTTGAACCACTGTATGTGGATGTTGGAGAAACATATCCCAAATCTAATTCCTTAGCCTAAAATCACATGGATTGTGGTGAGGCTTAAGGTAGATATTAATGTGTCAAGAATCACTGATGTGTCTGGAAAAGTAAAGACAGTGGAAAATAGACTGAATCGGTTTTTGTCCCCCAAAAGGAAGTATTATCTCTCGCATGGGTTGAACTGCTTAAGGTTTCAAAATAAGTGCCAATGTTGGAGATTTGAGGTTGATCTCTAAATAACACTTATTGAAGAAGTGGAAAATTTGGCTGAATCAAAGGAAAACTATTGCAAGAGATCCAAAAGGACCCTGAATGGAATCAGTTCCAGGAGAAAGCCGCTGTTGTCCATGCCTGGACAACCACTAAAGAAGGCAGAAAGAACACGTTTGTCAAATTGGCCAAGTCTAAAGAGAATGTTTTCAAAGAAGTAGAGGTAAACATTGTCCAAGTGTCAAAATGAAAAGTATTGAGAACACTGTGATCAGTGTGTATGAAGTGGTCAGAGGCAGGACAGCCCCACATACCCTCTACAGAAAGGCTCACAGTGACAAGGGGCCATTGTGACAGAAATTAGAGTGGTTGGAATGAAAGGTTTTGAGGATCTCAGCTGATGATTACCTTTGGCGCATATCCCTGACTTTATGTTAAAATAAAACTTGCTCCCAATAGAGAAAAAGAGGAGCCCAGAGGCTGTTTTGACTTTAGAATGAGGACGGGGGATAGTGGGTCTTCTAACAGCAAACAGTCAAATCGTACTGTAAGAGGTCACACAATGTCACTGTATACGATCTCTCAGCTAAACTTGATCCAAAACCATAGGTGAGGAAAGGGGGCTTCGGAATGCTGACGTGCACCAGGTTTCCCAGCCGCAAGGCAGAACACAAGGACGTGAACCCAAGCATCTCAACACTTTCAAATGAAGCTTGGGAAAGTGAGTCTGGTTGTCAGAGCCTTTCGAAGAGACAATCATTATATTTAATTCTCCAGAAGAAACTCTCTTGAGTTCTGACCCCAACCTGACTTGGACCAAAAGTCTAAACTCAAAGCCAAACAGTAAAATGCAATTCCTTTTCTGTGCCTTGTCGACACTGTCCCAGACAGCCTGGTAATTGCTGACGAGCCATGGAATCGTCTGCTCCTCTTTTTTGCCTGCCTACCCCTGGTGGGAGCCTGGATTTGGGTCCCTCTGCAGCTCCTCTGCCATTTGCCTGCTGAGAAGGTTGTTATCAACAAGCCTGGCTTGTGAGGGATGCTCCCCCCAGAACTGGTGATGAGAATGAGCAGCACAAACACTGTCTCTGGAGGGCCTGGTCCTGCTGGGCCTCCTGCCACTGCCTTCCATACATCTCCCCATTCATCTTCATGACAGCTCAGTGAAGGAGATACCACAAGAGTTCAATTGTACTGTTGTGGAAACAGAAGCTCACATGAAGTAGAATTGTGCCCCCAGGAAATGCAACTAGCAAAAGGTGCAAATGAGACCTGAACTCATGCGTGCCCAATTCCAAAGACCTCCTCAGCTACTGCTTTGCCTCCTTCCGTGGAGTCTGTAAACCATACAAGTCATCTAAAGACTCCAGCCTCTACAATTAGAGCCAATAATGGTACTATTTCCTTGCAATCAGTCAAGATCGCCCCATTTATCCTGTCTGCAGTTCTGCACTCCCGCCTCTCAGTGATAGACATCTGGTTCCTCCCCTTACTCTTCAGGACAAGTGCTCGTCTGCATCAAAAAGGTAATTTCAGCTTCCTAGGAAGAAAAGCTGCCTGCAAGAACCAATCTCATGTTTCCAAAGAATGAAGGAAGAGGGTGAGCTTGCAGGGTGAGGAACTTGTGATAACAGTAGCATCAATAATCACGGCCAATACATGAAGCTTTTCCAAAAAGCTGGGATCCAAACTCAGACCATATGCCCAAACAGAGGATCTTAGCAGAGAGCAGCAGCCCGAGGATGGGAGGCTGTGGCACAGAGTCAGGGGCTAGAACCAGGGAACAGACCCATCTCTTCTAGCAGGCAGGGCCCAGGAAGTGTGCCTAGGCCTGGGATGTGCTCAATAATTTTTCTTCCTTTCCTGGCCAAGATCAAACAATGACTTTCTTAGCTCAGGCCTGTGCCTCCTTCATACAGCCAGTCCAATAGAAAAGAGACTCAAAGGCAGCCAGCCTTTTGGGGGAAAGGGACTACGATAGAAATGCTGTTGGAATCAGAGGGTGGAGAATGAGCTGCTCCATTGTCAATGCTAGAAAAGCCAGCTGTGCACCTAGGCGGTGGGGGAGAGGATCGACCCTGGGATTCTGACCTCACACCACACACACTCAGCCTCCGGTTGGATTGCACACCTAAGTGTGAAAAGTAAAAGAAAGAACATGGTGAAAGAGAACATAGAAGAGCATAGGAAATGATTGTTAAACTGAAAAATACAAAAGCACATACCCTAAACAAAACATTGATACATTAAACTGTCTTCAATTTTTAAGAAAAATCTATATGGTGAAAGAAATCAGGCCACACGCAGTGTCTCATGCCTGTAATCCTAGCACTTTGGGAGGCAGAGGCGAGAGGATCACTTGAGCCCAGGAGTTCAAGACCAGCCTAAGCAACATAGTGAGACTCCCCATCCCCTCATCTCAAAAAAGAAAAAAGAAAAGGAAATCATCAGCACAGCAGTCCCTAATAAAGCTGAAAGGAGACTATCTCATACGTCTGCAATTTTCTTTGTGGCCTACCCTAGAGAAGCTCTCACACAGGTGCACATGAAAACTGGGACAAAGGTGCCCGTTGCAACCCCAATTTAAGAGGAAACGAATGGAATCAACCCAGTGTAAAATCTAGTCAGTAGGGAATGCTTCAATTAACCACAGTCTGTTAGTTATCATCACAAGCACCTGACCCTACAAACTCCACCCTATTTCACCATTCCCAGTTAAATCAGGAAGGACTTAATTAACTACAGTCCATCAGGACAAGGTCCTGGAGTCAAGGAGGCAGTGAGGCTTGTAAGAATTCTAGCCATTGTCAGCATCATGAAAGAGAAAGCAACACCAGTTTACTTAAGCCACTGGTATTTGGAGTTTCTATGATGTTGAAACCTACATTTCACTTAGTAAAAGTGGAATTGTAGGCTGAGGCAGGAGGATCACTTGAGGCCAGTTCGACACCAGCTTGGGAAACATAGTGAGACTCCATCTCTACAGAAATTTTTAAAAATAAAAAAGAAGTGGTATTATGACATTTTTGTACTCTTTTAAATTTAAATTAACTTAAAGTTTTTTGAAAACTAAAGTACTTAGGAAAGAAAACACTGGGCTGCGTTGGATGGGAGAGGATTCCGCTGGGAGCACAGCAGAAGCTTAGCAAACGCCCACTGAGGAGGGAAGGCAGGTGTGTCCGCAGAGGCCAGCGAACAGGAGGACTGCTGAGGGTGACTGAGGCAGCACTTCCTCTTCAGAGCAAAGCTCCCAGGCCCAGGGCAGCACCCCCGACCCAGCCAGGGTGAGGGACCAGCGGGACCCACAGGAGGGAGGAGAAACAGCCCAGGGGCCTTCCGATTTGCACGTGGTATGAGCCACCCCTGATTTAGGCCTCATATATTTAGTGGTAATGTTTGTATTTTTATTTCCCCTTTTGTCATTTTTAATTCAATTGTAATTTCTCTTTCTCAGTTTAAGTTTACCATAGTCTCTATGAGATTAATTCGTTAGATTATCAAAACTCAAATTCAGCTGAAGACAGCTAAGAAGAACCCCCCAGGTGGAAAAACTGGAGGAGGGGAGGGAGGAGCAGAGAGGGCCCTGGAATTCCCTGGCAGCCGCCCCCGCCCCTGCCCCCATGCCCAGAATTGCCCCTTTGATGACTGCTGTGACAGTACTCACTGGACCACTGTGCTCTGAGTCCGGGGCTCCTCCCTGCCCCTGCTGTCTTCCTTTGATCTCCTGGATGCCGCCTTGTTTTCCAGCACACGGAAACCCCCCAGAATGCTGGCTTGTCTGGGGAGTCTCCTTGGGAAATGCCAAGCAGGGAGAACAGGGAGTGTCCTGAGGATGTGATCCCGAAGCCCAGCAGGCGATCCGGAAACTGGCAGGCCCCACTGAGCCTGGCCCAGCTTGAAAGAGACAGTGAGCAAGGTAGCACAGGACCTTTAGAGCATGTGGCTGAGTAGGCTGGGCAGTGAGGGACAGGACTCAGACCCTTGGGAGAGCACTCAGCTGGACGGTCTGCGGGAGCTGGGGAGAGTGTCCTGTGTCCCGAAGAGTCACTGGGCTTCCCCTGGTCCGCCACCTCACCTTCAGCTTCACAGAAAAGGGCCAGTGGCTTGGTCCTGGTCATTGCCAGCATTCTCTAATCATCCAAAGGAACGAGTCCAGAAATACAGGACCTCGTTTCTGGATAAGCAGGTGCATTTCAGTGAGGAGTTACTGGGACCTTCCTATGAGACCACATGGGTGTTCGGTGCCAGTGCCAGCAACACAAACAGGGCACCGCACAAGTCCTGGTGGCCCCAGAGACAGACAGGCCAACGAGTGCCCAGGAAGAAGCTGAGTGAGACAGAACTCTTAAAAGGGGTCTCAGGAGAGAAAGCCTCCCAGACCTGAGACCTGGGGAGAGCCCCTCAGAGAGGTGTGAGCTGCGGCTGTGGGCTGGCCAGCCAGTCCCTCCGGGCCCTCCGGTTTCACTCTGGCCTCAGCAACATGTTGACGTCTTCGGGGCTCCGCAGCCTGGAGCCCACATGTACTTCTCTTCACCTGGCTATGTCTTGATATTCCCATCTCTCTCCACCTGGGAAGGGAGGCCATCCCAGGCCACTGGGGATTCAACAAAAAATACACACTTGTAAGGCTCCATGGTGTCTGCACACCCGTGGTCTCACATCTGAGTATGGGGATCCCCGCCCCCTCCATGGCTGCACAGTGAGGACAGAGCTGGTGCCCAGGACCCTAAACCACTGCTCATGTAAGAGCGAGTGTGGACACTCCCTTTGGAGTGCATGTGGGTATCTGCCCTCAGAATGGTGGGGGACTCACTGGCGATTGGCAGGATGCCCCAAGTTCACCAGCCCCTGACCTTACAAGATGAGAGTGACCTCCGTGGGCGTTGCAGGCCTCTCTCAGGACACTCGCAACCTATTCCAGGCATCAGGATTCTAGTTCTCACAGAATCTTATGGCCTGCTCATCCCAAAAACCAGGAAGGCATTTCCACCCTCACTGACACCCCCTTCCTACCCCCACGTGCACCATCACTCTCCAGCTAAGAAACCGCCTTACTTACGCTTCAGCTGCAGTTCCAGCGAACTCAACGCCATCAGAGAAAGGATGCAGACACCTCGGGTGATGTTTTTGGCACATCTGGCTGCTTTCCTGGAATGGTCACATTGAGTTGCTGCTTCTTTGCACACAGGGTCTAGAAACAAATTCTTACTCTTTATCACCAGGCATGCTGTCTGAGCCTGTTCCCCATCCCGTGTTCCCCACAAAAACCATGCTCATCCCCTGACCTCCATGTCCCTCAAGGCGAGTTACTTCTTATTTGTGGTTTGGTCTGTATGCACCTCCCAGGAAGTATTCTGAGCCTGCATCACTCAAAGTGTGGTTTCGAGACCGGGAACGCTCCATCCTCTGGAAGTTGGTGAGAAATGTAGCTTCCCTGGCTCTGCTCACAGCTACTGGGTCAGAATCTTCGGGTGGGGAAACTAGGAACTCGCTTTTTAACATGACTTCAGGGGATGCTGGTTGCTTCTGAAGTGTACAAGGAACTGCGGATAAACATCGACGGCATGTTTCACAGGGACAAAGCTGAAGTCTGGTGTGGGAAGGGTGCATTATTCAGTCTTTTCAGAGCCCAATTTGCTGCTGGAGTTGGAGGCTAGGAGGGTCTTGGTGGAGAACTCAGAATCTCCACCCACAAACTGTGCCGCTGAGCTGTGCCGGCTGTGGCCACAAGAGGGCACCCGTGACGACCTAACGGGCGCACCTCAGCCACCCCTGGGGGCCTCTTCCTCTTCCTGGTTCTCCACTGCTCCAATTGCAAGCGGCCACCCGTCCTGGAAACACCTTTGAGGAATAGGGACAGCCATAAGGAACCAGGCCCCTAGTACCAGCACTTGCCAGCGCGTCCCTGGCTTGGGAAGCTGCATTCAGGGAGGTGCAGAGAACAGGGTTGGGGGCTCCTGCTCTTGGTTCCTCAACCCCTGCCCAGGACCCAGAGGCTGGTGCCCCCGTCCTGAGACCCTCGGGGGAGCAGACACCTGCAGGACCTCGCACCAGGCCTCCCGGGCTCCCCGCCTCTCTCTCAAGAGGCCCAGCGCTTTCTCTGGGGCCTATGCCTGCTCACCCACGATCCTAGCGTCCACTGTCACCCCTTTCCATCCTTTCCTGCCTATTACCCATCCTCACACTCCCATCCCACCTCCACTACTGAGTCCAGCGCTCACCTTCCACTCATACCTCTTGCACTTGTGTTCCTGTGCCCGGCTCTGACCTCCACTGGGGCGCCTAGTGGAGGGCCCCTTTAGCCCGCGGAGGTGCTGGGGCAGCTGGGGCTGGGTCTTAATGTTCAGGGCACTCTCTCTCCCATTGCTGGTCTTTCCCAACCCAGCTGCCTGGGTGCTGTTCCTGTCCCCTGAACAGGAGATGATTTAAACGGCTTTGGAAGAAGAGAGGCCATGTGTGGGAGAGACAGGGTGTAACCACAGAGATGAGGCCTGGAGGGAGGAGTTTCTGCCCCAGCAAGTGAATTTAAGGGCCAGATCTGAGCCCTGGAAGGCTCCAGTGGATGCCAGGTATCTGAAGGGCAAAACCACGGGCTGCTGGAGCCTGCATCATGTCGAGTCCACAGAGGAGGAAGGCTCTGCCCTGGGCACTGTCACTGCTTCTCATGGGCTTCCAGCTCCTGGTGACCTATGCCTGGTGTTCTGAAGAGGAAATGGGTGGTAATAATAAAATAGTCCAGGATCCTATGTTCCTCGCCACAGTGGAGTTTGCCTTGAACACTTTCAACGTTCAGAGCAAGGAGGAGCATGCCTACAGACTGTTGCGCGTTTTGAGTTCATGGAGAGAGGATAGCATGGACAGAAAGGTTGGTGACCACATCCTCTTCTGGCCTGTCCTTCTCCATCTGCCCCTAAGTGAGGGACCAAGGTGTCTGGCCTAGGAGACTTGATTCACCATCGGCAGACCATAGTTGGGTAGTCCATAACTAATTACGGTAGTTTCAGTTTTGGAAAACATTGAACTTAAAAAAAATTTAAAATTAGGTAAATGTCTATTCACATGCAAGATGTATTTTTCAATCTTCATGATTTTTATGACATTGTATAACTGAAGAGTGACTTCAGAGTAAGGACTTCTAAGGAGATGAAGCTGACAAGAAGACAAGATAACCAAAGAGACTGAGAAATATTGCAAGGTCATAAAATGAAAACGGAAAAGCAAGGACACACACACACACACGCACACACACACACACACACACAGACAGAGAGAGAGAGAGAGAGAGAGACAGAGAGAGAACAGTGAGAATTCAGGGCAATAAAGAACACCATCAGCCCTGAGAGGCCGCTGTGAGAGGTCAGTTCTCTGATCTCCACCTTCTCTGGGCTCCTTCCTCTGTCTGCACTTAATGAACTGAAGGCTGATTTACACACTCTTCCTCAATGGACCTTCATCCTAAAATGCTTGCCTTTTTGATGAAATCATTAACGTGGTCAGGAATGCACAGTTCATCTGGGCTTCAGGCATGAACAGTTAAAATGCCCTCCTAATGGAGCACTTCTGGTTTAGAGAGAGAAGGAGCATTTCTCTTCCTTTCTCGGAAGCAAGAGCCTGAAGGAAGGGCAGAGGGACTCCAGTGCCGCACACAGCTTAAGCTCTGGAAAGACTCTGTGCAAGGCCCTGGCTGGTTCTCTGCCTCCTGGGGTGAATTCTTCTCTGCCATCCTCAGGATTGCAATGCTGGTACAGAGGAATTCTCCTCCTTGCTCATTTCCTGCCTCCTCTCAGGAGAATTAAAAGCCTGATGCAGCCCTCAAAGGGGCATCCGGTCAAGTAATGGTGTCTGCTAAGAGTCAGGCTGGAACCTTGGAAGTCTCAGAGATTGAGACTGGTCAGGCCTCATGCTTCTGCTTTTCCCAGTGCTTTGCTTGATTCTCCAAGACCTCGGTGTAAGCCTCCATTCTTAATACCGTTAGAATAAAATCCAAGCTCCTTACTGTGGTCTCTAAGTCCTAAATGACTGTAAGTCCTAAAAGCCTTCCACGTGGCTTCCTGGATATGGCAATCCCAGTGTCAGTTTGGGGGCTGGGACGAATAGATGGGTGGGAGGGAGGCTATGCAGTGGAATGAAATAGAATGGAGTGGGAAGGAGGGCAAGGAGAACTTCAGCACGCACTTTGCAATAGGGCAGACGGTGTCTCTTTAAGCTGTTTTCCCAGGGTTTGTGCCTGTGTGTAGTGGGAGCACTGTGTGTCATTTTTCTTGCTGGAGGTCGGTTGGAAGGTTTTGACAACACGCTGTAGATGAGGCTCCCTCTGTCCCAGGGCTCAGGTTACCCTGAAAACTCTCGGAGATCCAACACCCTCCTGGACATGTGGCTCTGTCCTCTGGGAATGCAGCTGCAAGATACATGCTCTGCTGAGAGTGAAGCTGGAGTCTCACCATGGGAAATGGGGGTGGGTGGAGGTGGAGAATGTGTTAGTGGGGTCTGGCTTAGCCTGCATCCTCCCCAGACCCACCATGCCCACCTGCTTTTTGCTCTTAACTCCTCAGTCTAGAGAGGATCCCCTGGGTTTTACCTCCAGTGAGCTGATGCCAGGCCCATGGGCAAGCTCTCAAATGCAGTAGAGTGTTGGGGTCTCTCCTGCACAAATGGCATCTTCAGTAGCAGCTACTTAGGGGCGGGAAGGCGGTGCATCCACTTTAATCTCTTTTTGTCCAACAGTGGCGAGGTAAGATGGTGTTCTCCATGAATCTACAACTACGCCAAACTGTATGTTGGAAATTTGAAGATGACATTGAAAACTGCCCTTTTCAAGAAAGCCCAGAGCTGAACAATGTAAGACAGGGTGTCAGCTTTCCTCAGGTCCACAACTGTGGATGCTGCATGGGGTGTGGTGTGGGCACAGGAGCAGCTGACAAAGCCATTCCGAGCGACAAAGGCAAGTGAGCCCACAGCAGGCTCTACCAGGCTGCCCTGCTTGTGCCTTAGTGGGAAGCCCAGTGAGGCAGGGAGCCCAGGGCTTCACTTTCAGGCCCCCGGCCAATCTGAGTTTCCTGACTCTGCCCTCTGACACCATTGCAGCTGCCTGCACCTGGGCCACATGGCCTTCAGAACCTTCTCTCTGGTCTTCCTCCCCATTCTTCCCTGCCTTCTAGAGAAAGAGCCTGGAGACAATGGTGACAATGTCTGTGGATACTTTTCTCAGGGTTTCCCTACCCTGTTCTAGACCCAAAAGTGGTGAAGGCTGAGAAGAAGCCCCACTGCCCTCACTCCTAGTCCCTGCTGAGCTGCAGACCCTGCTCTAGGGGATGAGCTCCAAGCGAATCCTGGCTCTGGGAAAACTTCCCGTTCTTAGTCAACCCCCTTATTGTAAGATTAACAAACAGGTAACTAATTGCCTAAGTCTTGGAACTGCTTTCACTGGGACAAAGTGTTCTCCTGCTGCTCTTGGGTGCAGGGATCACACCAGGATAGCCTGGGGTTTCCCTGAGGGGCACGGGCTGGAGGAGGAGGCATGGCACAAGTGATCCTGGCTAAGGAGGGAGCCTCAAATCATGATGTAGTTCAGGATTGGCCTCAGGCTCAGGCTGGACCTGAAGGCCAGAGCCACGTGGCTCAATTGCTGGCCCGGGAATGGGCAAGGTGGAGATGGAACCTGTGTCAAGGGCAGATGCCACAGGATTCCGGAACCTCCCCAAATCCCGCCCTACTGTCTCTTCCTGTTTGTTCCCTCAGACCTTCAGCTGCTTCTTCACTGTTGAAACCATGCCCTGGAAGACATATTTTGAACTCCTGAACAAGACCTGCTCAGAGGGGCTCTCCTGAGTGGAAGCCACTCACATGCCTGGCCTCATGCTGTCCCCTCCCCCGTGGACACCAGCTGTTCCCAGGAGTTGCACATCAGTGGCTGAGCAGCTCCATGCATATTTGTTCTCTCACTTTGCAAGCATCTGAGGTTTTATGACTTGGCATTTTAGAAACTCCTCATTGTCCAGGTTCCTCATGTAGAACAGGTCATTAAACATCAGCATTTCCAGAAGCTTCCTGTGCCATGTTCTGAAGGGAGGGGCTGAGCAGTTGATGGAGTTCCTCTCAGAAAGGCAGCCTATTTGCATCTGTGTCAGTGGGGTCCTCCCTCCCTTAGGACCTCGTGAGCCAGCTCCAGGTGGCACAACCAAGATGAGTCTGAGCTGCTGTCTCTATACTCATGGCTGATGGTGACCCATGTGGCCAGAGGTAGAAAGTCTGTGATCTTGCAGGACACCCAATGTGCACGATTGAGCAAGACAGGGCCTCTGGGTCCCACTCAGCACGTGTGGCCTCTGCTCTCGAGGGGAGGCTCACACAGCTTTCCTGGTCCGTGGAAGGTTGGTGGGTAGAGGAAGGACTTCTAGCTTTACCCTTATAAAGTTGTCCTGGCATCGGGGGCAGCAGCATCTTCTGGAAGAATCTTAGGAATGTCCAACTTCAGGGCCTCTGACCTTTGGAAAATGCATCTGCACTCTCACAAATCCCCAGGGATGCAGAAATCCCCTGAAAATGCAGGATTTGCAGGAATGCACACCCCCAGGGGATGCGGTGTGAGATGCATGGGCAGACTAGATGCTACTAAGACCTTGCCCAAATCACCTAAACCAGGGTTTGGCAAAAAAATGTTCTGAAGAAGCTAGCGAGTAACTATTCTGGCCTTTGTGGGCAGATGGTCTCTCAGCTACTCAGAATTGCTGTCATATCTTGAAAGGAGCAATAGCCAATGTGCAAACATATAAGAGTGGTTGTGTTCCAATAAGTGTTTATTTACACAAACAGGCAGTGAGCTGCTTGGGTCTCAGGCCATAGTTACCAGTCTCAGATGCTAAGAGCTCCTCTGGACCCTGGTGCCCCTGAGACACACCATGCTACCAGCTCCCAAGCCACGCACCTGCATCTCCCCCAGCTTCGCTCAGGGGTTGATCTGTGCAAATGAGCTCCATCAGCAGAGCAGGTGCGCCCTGCAGGTGTGGGAAAGGTCAAATCTGAGGGGCACATTCTGTCATGGAAGTGAGCAGGTCTATGTCCCAGTCTTCCCAGCCTCAGGCCACCCAATTCAGAGTTGAGTTTCTGCATTTGCATCCCAGCAGGATATACCCCTATCGTCCACAGTCTGGCCTCTGGAAAGAAACCGTCACATCCTCCAGCTAAAAATTAAATAAAGTTACTCTTTCTGGACAAGACTTAAGTTTCTTCTCCATGAAGATGCCTTCAGCATGTATCTGTAGTTACCTGTGAACTTCAGAGGGACTAGAATACCCTGAAGGCAAGTTCTAAATACCCTAAACCCAAGTTCTTATTCTCCCTATCCCCCAGGAATCTGAAACACTAGGTCTGAGCAGGGCCAGGGAATTTGCATGTCTCACCAGCTCTCCTGGGACAGACCTGTTACCTAGTCCTCAGACCACACCTGGAATGGTGCAGGTTCAGAAGCCATCATTGCGGGTACATGCAGACCAAACCACAAGTGAGAAGTATCTCACCTCAAACGGCATTGGGGTGAGGTTGAGAATGATTTCTTCATTGCACGCTGAATTGGGGAAGGGGTCAGAACACTATGCCTGATCGTAAAGAAAAAGGAGAGTTTGTAGACCCCAGGCAACAGGATGGTGCCTCTGGAGAAGTGAGAGGCTGCACTGGCCCTGACAGCCTGGCCCTCTGCACAGCAACTCCTCAGAGCTGGAGCTTATATTTAGTCAGTTCTCGTAATTAATTGTTTAAATTTTTCTAATTTTTTGTATTATGAAAAGTGACATGATGAATACTTCTTTTATATTTATCATTGTGTATATATGGTTATTGCTTTCTTATAGGCAATGTGCTCAGAGATTAAACTATTGCCCAATATTTTTATTAAAATTTCTTAAGAATTTTTAATAAACATTGTTACAGTGTCCTCTATTAAAGCAAGTAATAGGTCATTATCATGAGGTTGCTTTTGTACCTGGAGCTCTTTCATAAGCAAACGAAAACTTAACTTGGAGGCATTTCTCATGACTGACTTACAAATTAAAATCTAGCATCAATCAATCACAAACAGCCAGCCAGTTAGTTATATAACTAGGGACCACTGATCACAAGATACCCAAATAAGACAAACACCTAGGACCAGGAACATCACCATTCCTTGGGTGCTGGTTAGAAATGTGATTTTCCTGGCCCCACCCACACCTACTTGGTCAGTGTCTTGGGAAGTGGGGTGGCTCAAACTTGAGTTTTAACATGAACTCAGGGCATTCTGGTCTCTCTGAAGTAGTTTACAAGTGCCTGCAGATAAATGTTGAAGTCATTGCACCTATCATTATATCATGCCCAAATACAGTAGACATCTAGCTAAGCCAGTCAGGTAATTTCTTTACTTTGCTACCTTGTTCAGCCTGTGAAACCTTGCTGTTTATGCTACTAGAGAAAAGCTTTCTCAGTCCTTCAGTTTTGAGTGTTGCCAAGTTCATGAATTCTTCTTTGCCCAGATAAACTCTATTGAATTCACTTTGTTTAAAGTTTTTCTTTAACAGTTTAGTGTCAGATGTGGAATCCTAAGGCAACCTCCAGCAGCATCTAGGAAAACCTACCACCCGGCAAAGGCACCAACTGAGCCACGGCGCTGTCTTGCTGCAGTTGGAAAGTGGGGTTGAGTTTCCTTTCAAATAGGAGCTCCAGAAACTTGCATTTTGACCTCTCCAACTTTATTTGTGCATTTCCTTAGCCAGTCTCCATTCAGAATCAGATTGGATCCAATAAATAGCAGAACTGAGACCAGTGAGAGCCCTCAGGTAGGTACTTTCTGAAAATTGATTTCTCCAAAAGAAAGGAGCCTGGGACTCCACTTGCTGGAATACTGGCTAATTTTATGTATGATAATTAGGGACCACGAACCTTTATATTTTTGGACAAACAAGATAACCTTGCTAAGGACAATTTAGGATGACAGCATTCACATGGGGAAGTTTTAATCTTGGCAACATTGTTCATTTGCAAGGTGCAATAGATAAGAATCCAAAATACCTGAAAACAATACCACCGTCATCACTAACAAACAGGCCATTTACTGTTGCTTACCCCCTAGTTTTCACTAGAAATTCAAGCTAATAGTAGTTAAGAGTTATAACTAACATATGGTAATTAATGCTATAAATAATAAGAGAACCGACTCCGTATGTAAGAATAGTAAGACAAGTTTTTGGTAGGTGAAGCTATGAGATATAAAGGATGTGTTTTTCTTTAAGAAAAAAGTATTTTTTTAACCTAAAGTAGAATGGCAGGTTGTTCCACAATGGAAAAGGGAAAGCAGATAGAAAAGAAGTTGTAGAAGGTTTGTGGAAAGAAATCTTGGGAAAGATTTCATGTGTGATAAAGTTTGATAAGATTTGAAAGAAATTGTTTACAATTTGTTTAATTGATTATTCATATCAAAAGTATACTGATGTAGTACTAGAATTTGGCCTCCTATGTTAAAATGACAAGGATATCTTGAATTATTGGACTGCCCTAATGGGAAATTGTGAAAGATGTTTTTTAACCTTTTAAGAATTCTAGCTAGGAAACAAAGACTGTCTTATCAAAACAATTTATTATGCTTCATGTTGTCTTTTGTCAAGTCTTTAGTTACTTTAGAAAACTAAAACCTCTCTGTTAAAGATACATTGTTACACTGTAACAATGTATCTTTTTGTGTTTGCCTTTAAAATCTATTCATCACCATCTTGAGTAACAACATTTTGTCACAGTGACTTCATGTCCTATTTAATCAGGTATTCAAGCCTTAATACTTTTGACCACTTTCCCAAATCAAATTGGTTTTTTTATTTTTCTTGCGCCTTTTTTAAAATTTTAATTAAAAAAAAAATTATATCCCAAATCAAATTCTACATTAAGTCTTGTGACCTTAAACTAACTTTGGGAGTTTCCAGCTGACCCATGTCACATCTTGAAAGAGTTTGTTTTCTCTCCTTACAAATAATGATAAACTAATTAGGCTTACTTGATATGTTAAATTCTGTAAGAAGTAGTGTCAAATAATACAAATCCTCAGGTGAAATATTTCCACCACTAGCTGAACCATTTGAGCACTTACAGTTGAACTTCATTCAATTGCCATTCTCAGTGGGATATCAACATGTTCTTACAAAAATCTGTGTGATCTCTGGTTGTATAGAAGCTTTCCCATGCAGGAAGGCTAATACTATAATAGTAGGTAGAAGGTTTTCAGAAAACGTGTTTCCTTGATGGGGAATTCCTGAATAAATCTC